TAGAGAATGCTTCAACCATATACACAATACAAGAAGGTGTCTACCATATACACAATACAAGTAACTTTGATACAAATGTTGGACATTGTAATGGTGCACTGACAATTGACATTTCCACCATTTGCAAATGCCAATGCACTTTACAAAATTACTGAGCACATATATGGTCCTTGATGAGATGAGATAGGTCAAACGTGTTCACCGACAAGACCTCTGAGTGATGAAGGTTACTTTAACACTGAAATTTATGAAAATACTTTTGCCCCTATTGCGTGAAGTAGTTTAGGAACTTTTAAGGAAAAACGCTTTGCATAAACTTGAGTTTCTTCTTAAATCGTAGTTTAGAGTATTCTACATTTTATGAGACCGAAAAAGACATGCTTTAAACATCTCATATTTATGTTATAAGGGGGAAGAAATGTTTAAAAAAAAATTTTCTTTAAAAGGGGGGGGGGGGGGGGGGGGGGAAAAAAAAAAAAAAAAAAAAAAGAAAAAAAAAAACAGGGGGGTTTGGGCGGGGGGGGGGGGAAAAAGGTCTTTGGGAAAAAAAAAAAAAAAAAAAACCCGATTTTTAAATCCCGGGGATTCTAAACGGCAATAATTTTTGACATGTCAGAGGTTACAAACCTTCTCGACCGGGAACATTTTTCAATTAAAATTCTGAACATCTGAGTCTATACATACATTTTATTTGTTAGTGAATGTATCCATTTTATTAAGTGCGGTGGAATTCGTAGGCAGTGATGTCAGCTAAAGAATAAAATAAAGTAATTAATGTTAATGTAAACCATTTTTCGTGATATTGAAATATTTGTTATTTTTGTATTAGGTCACTTGAGTAATTAAATATTTAGATTTACCTTTTTGTAGGTATAACGTAAAAATACGTAACATTTTATTTTTTATTGCCCGCTATTGGGTCAAATTTGTCACCGTTTCGGCGGAGACCTTTTTAGTAACAACATTTATGATATTTCAGAATTCTACGGAATGAAAAATCAGAGTATAGGATATTTCTAAGTTTCAGTTGGAGCAATTAAAAATTATATCAAAAATATATGTTTATTATGGAACATAAGATACAGGAATCACTTATTCTTATTCCACGTCATCAATTTGAATCTGTAGGTATCCCTACTCATTGGCAAAGAAGACAGAGGGTGTAGGCCGAGAGAAAAAGCCGGCGTAAAAAAACTCTCGGTTCATCAAATAACACTTATTTTAAAACAAATATCGCAAATTAATTAGAAGTAGCCTGTCTAGCACTAGTCCCAGGGCCCTTTAACAACTATAACAAATTGGTCGTAATTGTAGACATTTTTGAGATGATAAATTAGAGTATGTGTAGTGTTGTGAACAATGGTATATAATTAATGACAAAAAAATCTATGAATATGTTACTGTAAAAGCTCGAACTGCAGTAAATCCTAAGATATTCCAGTAAAACCTAAGATCTACCAATTCCTAATGGTAAATGTCCAAAAAGGTTTGCGATTCGAACTCTTACCACCATTCCGTTGGTAAATCTTAGGATTTACATTAATGGCACGGTAAATGTTGAAAAACAAAAAAATGCACCTGCAGATCATCAGGATTACCTTGTAATTCTAAGTGCCACTATAGCAATCCGTGTTGTAACTAGTGAAATATTTTTTTTAGGTACCTTATGTAGGTGAGATATTCAGAGATAAACGTTATGTGTTTTTTTCAAAATAATTTAAGTAAGTTGGTATTAGTTTGTACTTATTACTATCATATGATACCTTTATAATACTATGTACCTGTTTTGTCTAATAGTTCATTAAACTAAATAATTAAGAATTACTCATTGTTTTATTCCTAAAACCAACATCTACCAGCTGACAGTGGTAAAACCTAGCATATACTGAATTCGAATGGTAAAAGCTCGAAAAAATCGTCGTATTTTCAGAAATTCTTACATTTACCAACTCATGTCGGTAAATCCTAAGACTTACACTTAAATCTTAAGATTAACCGTAGTTCGAGCTTTTACAGTAACAAATTTATACAATAGCAATTCAGCCACAGCCATCTCCAAACAATCAAATATGAAACTAAACACAAAATTCGTTTGATCTAAACTAACGTTTTATGGAATTTATTATTTGGATTGCTACAACGTTAGAACTATTTTTTTTATAATTGATAATATAACTTTCTGATAGCACTGATTTCAGGTAGCTTTATCAAAAAATTCTTACATATTTTAAAACGAAGTCCCTCGGCTACATCTTTTCGTCTGTATCAAGGCGACACAAAAACTCAGTTTTATTTCTTGTTTTCACAAATAGATTTATGAATATGAAGGAAGGTTTGGGTTTAACTCATTATGGATTTTACTATGTTAAGCGCTCTCAATGCCAGAGGTTTCGCGAGTACGTTGCGGGCCTTTTAAGAATTGGTACGCTCTTTTCTTGAAGGACCTTAAATCGAATTAGTTTGAAAATACAAAAATGGTTTAATGTCAATTCATTGAAATACTACTATCGTTAAAGAGGTCACAAAAATCTTACTAAAACATACGAAATTCACGCTGGCAATATACAAGAATAATATACAAATTATATGAGTTCGTGCTTACTACTTACATATAGGAAGAATCAAAGGTTTTGTCCTAACCATTAAGCCAGTGAAACATAACTAGATACACGGCCCTGAAAAGCTAAGCCAATATCAGATACCACAAAATTGATAATAAAAACTTTTTCTATCGGTGACATTCAAGACAATGGGCAAAAACTTAAGTGTTGACTTGAGAGTTAGTATCAGACATTGTTCGAACCTTTATGTCATCGAGTGACCGTAAAAATAAATGACTTTGATTTCCCCGTTTTTTGGGAAAATCTTTTTGTATTTTGCGGCAATATAAGAGAGATAGAGTGTGGACGATATCAGTGTTCTGGGAATTTGAGATAAGAAAAGCTTAGTTACAAAATGACTTGCTTTAATAAAAAAGCCTATATTATAATATATTGTTAATACTTTATATTATGTATAAGTTTTAAACTGTAGATTATTATAATAACTAACGGTTTAAAATGGTTAATTAAATAACATATTTTGTTGTAAAAACGTGCTGGGCATGCAAAGTTAGCGTGTATTTATTTATTTTCTTTTTGGAGTATTCTTTAGATCTGATGTTTGGTTTGAGTGATGTAAGCTAGAGTGGGTTCAAGATGGCTGGTGATAAAAAATAGATAATTGCGGAATGCCTTGGTGCAGGTTTTACCCATATAAATATAAATACAATTATTTGATGAATAATTAAATGAATTTGATAAGTGCTCATGTGTGTGTAATAACCAGTGTTGGTGTAGTGGCTTCAGCGAGCGACTCTTATCCCTGACGTCGTAGGTTCGATGCCCGGCTGTACCCCAATGGACTTTCTTTCTATGTGCGAATTTAACATTCGCTCTAACGGTGAAGGAAAACATCGTCAGGAACTGGTTTGCCTTAGACCCAAACTGATACGGAAATCTGAGGCCCAGACCTAAACATTTTGTGGCACCACTGATTTTTTTTATCATGTGTGTGATTAAAACAACATTACTTAATAAACTATTAATGACGACTTAATGGATGACAGTATGACTATATGAATTAATAGTTAACCAACTCGTATATGAATTCTAATTGTACGCGTATAGACTTGCCAGTATTGGAATTTATGAATAATAAATAGATAAAATTGTTATTACTATTAAGGCGGATGAAAGGAATGTTTGTTTTATAAAATTTCCATCAAGCTTCGTTGACATGTTTACAAATGGACATAAAGCGTGGAGATAAGCGGTCTGTGGCCGTTAAATCCAGCTCTATCCAGATTTATCCAGATAACAAGCGGCTCGGGGCGGCCCGGGTTAATCATGAAAATATTTATTATCTCGCCTTCAAAATTTTCCCGCAAATTCGGCCTGATATTAATTTTATTTGGAAAATGTCATTGGCAGAATTCTACCACAATAACAAGTGCCGACGGGGTTTTGAATTTTCCGAGAATTGAAAGCGAAAAGATGAAAGTATTTCAAATGTTTCAGGATTTTGCACAAGATTTTGGACTTTGCAATTTGTTATTTACGGCTATAGATCAAAGAGTGAAATTTTTATTTGTTTAAAAAAATAAGTAATCTTGTTGATGTGAAACATCTATAGCCCCACGTAAAACCGATTTCTGGCGTGGCGACGCATGCCGTGGCGACGCGCCATAAACGCGCCGTTTTGTAAATGTTTATTCAATAAATAGTTATCGTTATCTGGAAAAAAATCGTAATATTTTATCATTATGACATATTTAGTTCCTATCACAATGTGTTCTTTTCTGCATATGTGTTTTTTTCTTGTTTTTATCAAATAAGCAGTCCCGTCATTTAAGCAGGATGGATTTGGACATAAAAGACGTTACCATAGAAACCACGGTAGATACTATTTTAAGAAGGTAGACGTATTAAGGTTGTATTATATTGACCATACAGAACGGTTAGCAAAAAGTTTTAAATATCTGAAATTAATTAATTAAGCACAACTTATCACATAACTTACAGTTTACTTAAACTGTGGTCAGTAAGTTGGCAGATTATAATTAAATTAAATGTTGCCAGATTAACGCCAATTAATTTTAGTATTTGTACTTTATTACTGATGCAAGCAGCACAGTTTTATAGAAAGATGTTAAAAGAAATATTTTTTTGTCCGATGTTTTATTTCTGTCACAAGGTCACTCTATCGTACGGTTGGCCTAAGCATTAGCCAGCCAGTTTATTAAATGTTGTAACAAACGCTCCGGCTGAATATCTTTCAGGCCGCTGGTTAAATGGCGCTGTTTAGTTAAGAGGCTAGGATGTTAATTAAACGGCTCATTAAGCTAGTTGGCTGCGACATATACACAAGAAAAGAAATAAACAAATTAAAAACTCGGTCACACATAAAAAAGCTATCTTTGCACAAATGGTCGGCCTCATCACAAACTTTAGGGTAGGAATTTAAGTAATCATACTTACATCGTTCATATAATTCCAAGCATGGCACGCCTGTACGGGGCTTAGTGGCTTGTAGTGGTTTCCAAATGTGTACATATAGAATAACCATGGAGCCGGGAACAGCATTGTGAACATGTCACACAGGGCCATGGCCATCAGGACTACGTTCGTTGGTGTTCTCATGTGCCGACGCGATAATACTACTACTATGAGTGTATTTGCTACCGTTGTTGTTGCTAGTAGGAACGGTGCAATGTACCTGAAAACAATTTTCACGTTAACGGCTTTGTTTTAAACTTTTTTGGTATTTTTGTGTGAATATAGATACTGATGTTAAGTTTTTTTAATTAAATTATTTTACAGAATAATATAATAAAATCATAATATGTTATACATATTAGAAAACCGCTGTGGTATGTAGAAATTTGTACCATTTTAAATTTGTACCATTTTTAAAATTTGTCACATTTACCCTGGAGTGTATTCAGAGGAGTTGTTCGGATTAATAGCCGAGTTTCATCATCGGACATCGAGACAGAATATGAAATTCCACCCGTATCACCTCGACGTCCGCCGTTTCACAACTGAGCATTTTTCAAGGCAGCTTTTACGCCACCACTATGTGGAAGCAGCTGCCCACTTAGGGTCCTTCAAGAAAAGAGCGTACCAATTCTTAAAAGGCCGGCAACGCACTTGCGAGCCCTCTAGCATTGAGAGTGTCCATGGGCGGCGGTATCACTTAACATCAAGTGAGCATCCTGCCCGTTTGCCCCCTGTTCAATAAAAAAATGTAGCAGTCTAGTTTAAATAAGTGATAGATAGTCATACTGCTCGCAAGTGCGTTGCCGGCCTTTTATGAATTGGTCATTCCTACTTTGAAGGACTTGTTTGATTCGAATTTGTTCGGAAATAATTCACTGGGCAGCTGATTCTACAAAATGGTTGTAAGCGGCAAAAAGTACCTAAAACTACGCTCAGTGGAACGCCGGATGTCGAAGAGATTCGAAACTTATAGCTAAACATTCCTGAGGAATGACAAAGAGCATTAACAACCTTACAAATAACCATTCGGTAGTTACAGTAATTATACAGATTTGCCTTAAGAATACACATAGACATTTATCGCCCTATTCTATCTAGGCCGTAATGTCTGCCTGGATGTTAAATTTCCGTACAGGGGGTGTAGTCAAAAAGTCAAAAACTAAATTTGTATGTTTCAAATTTAGTTTTCGACTTTCTACATACACTGTTAAGTTATCTTGGCTAATCCCCCGAGACTTTTAATGCTAAAGATTCGTGGTTATTTTCTGTCATTTATATGATATATTTTTCCATATATTTCTTAGACAAAAGCAAAAATGTATTATTTTCTTCTTTTGAACTATGTATATTGTATATTATATATTTAATTGGATTAAATGTTAATATTCTTTGACGAACATTGTTAAGTTCTACATTAGATTTTATTATCCATGACATAGACCTGTCATTACATCAGAAACTGATGAAACCTTTTATTTTATCTGTTCAAAAATGACAAAGTAATAGTACATGTATTCAAATGACTTACCCGTACATAGGCTCCGCATAGTTAACAGGAAATTGGCAGGTAACGTTCAGGTATACGTGTGAATAGTTGGATGAGCAATAGTCGTCCGTCGAGAAATTAGACTCAGGATATTCTAAATCCAATGTTTGATTGTCGTAAAAATTATAATTTGACTTGTCATCAAAATCCGCGCCATCTTCGATTCTGTAATTCGAACGGGAGTTGTTCAAATAATATTCGCTCCATCCCTTCTCGTGCGCCATTTTGTTTTATCTATGGTTATCTCACACTGGATAATGACATATTTATATTGACAGATGGCATCAGGTTATTGGTGTGTCATGTAATCTGTGGACAAAATAAATGATTTATACCTTTGTTATAATGGATAACGTATTATAATATGTCAAGTGTAAAGGATTGCTCGAATTTAACAGGTGTACAATTTGCCTTGTTAACGTCGGAATATTAATAGCGGGCCTTTCATTAGTTATACGGGTCTATGTGAAAATTGAGGAGGCTAGTTAGCGCCCTTATAGCGCTGTCAAAGGTAACTTCAGTAGTGTATAAAGGTGTAATATGGTTATAAAGCTCTTTGTCGGTGCTCAATTGATATTGGGTCGAGTACTATTACTATTACGAAGACTCGCTCACCGTATATACAAATAAGTGTTAGGAGAGATATTTAATCTAAAGATTTGATCAAAAATTACCCTCTTTATAGCCGTAATATAAAAGCTTTAATTCTTTTGTGACGTATAAATTTATTGAATATTGAAACATTTCATAAATTTAACTATAAATAGATAAATAACGCAAACTTAAAATAAATTTCGAGTACTTTATTGCAGTCGTGGTCAACTAGTGATTTAAAGTAGTTTTATTAATTTTTCAGGATATGCGCGATTGTGTATCAATATTATGTTCCGGGATGAGATATTTAGTAGGAACTATGAATGGCAAATAGATTTATTTACATGAAATTGTGAAAATAATGTCTCCAATATTTTTTCTGATAACTGTCATGTCAATAACCATAACTTGCCATATTCTGTGCTCAATGCACAGAACATAAGTATAACATAATAATAGTATAATTATATTATACTTATATAGTTACTTGTGCATATTGTACCAAAAACCTAGCATTTCAAATTGACAACTATTACTGGATTTTATTTTATAAATTAGTTTATTGAATAATAACATCTCAAATAACAAATTGTATGGGCATTTTCACCTGTAAATGGGGTACAAAATTAATCGAAGCTCGCCATTTTCCTGTCTCTTAGTATACAAGTCTATGTCAATTGGGTGGTCTTGTAATAGACAAGAGGAACCAGCAAACAGCCTGTTTCAACAGCTAAGTGGTTAAGTAAATTTCTGACAAGCACTAAAGACAGAATTTAATTTACTCCCGACAATGCTTTGTTTCAAGTTGATTCAGTGCGGAGCTAAGTTTGGATTAAAACAAGTTGAGAAGACAAAGGAAGAGCTGAAGAGTATTATCAATGTAGTTTTATGGAAACTATTTCAATCGTAATTTAAATAAAATACTATAACACCGGATCGTAATAAGAACAATTTTTGTCGTGTTCAGAGTCCATTTCTTTTTCAAAAGTAGCGTTTTACTTTTTCCCGCTACTTCATAGATAAATAACTTGTCTCTGTTCATCACAGCATATACACAATTTGACAGAAAGAAACGAAAGAGAACTTAAAAGAGAGCAATGCATAAAGTCAAAACTATTGCCATAATATTAAAAAAAAGAAAAAAAAAGAGAGCAATGACAGTACAGATAATATCAATAGCTTAGAGAATAATTCTCTATCGATGATTCTCTATCGCTACGCAGAGACATTGCGTCTCTTTGCGTTTTTTACAAAATTTATTACGGAGAGTGTTCGGAAGAATTGTTTGGGTTGATCCCTCCTGCCTCTTTTCAACACCGTACGAGCCGAACGACCTCTAAATTTCACCAGCATCATCTTGATGGTTGGAGGTCTTCCACGGTCCGCTTCACAAGGCATTTTCTTTTGCGAACTAGCGAACTGTGGAATCGGCTCCCAGGGGGGGGTCTTCCCTCAGAGATACGACCTCCAAATGTTTAAAAAGAGAGCCTACTCCTCCCTCAAAGGCCGGCAACGCACCCACTAAAAATGGGTGTCTATGAGCTGCGTAGACTGCCCTTTTTGGTCGTCCCGCAGCTCGTTTGCCCCCCTATTTTATAAAAAAAATAATAATAATAATAATTCAATAATAATAAGGTCTTTTGAGAGTCTTCACTTCTTTTGATTCACTGAAGTATTTCCGAACCCATTCGAATTAAGAGAAAGAAATACTCAAGAAAAGATTGTATCAATTCTTAAAAGGCCGGCAACGCAAGCCTTCTGACAAAGTGAGTGTCCATGGGCGGCGGATCATCTAACATCAGGTGAGCCTCCTGTCCGTTTCCCTCCTGTTCTATAAAAAACCCGCTACCTTCGCTCACTTTTAGGTCACGGCACGTCACTAATATACTCGTATCGAAATCAGCCCGTATTAGAGCCAAAATAATGACGCAACCAACTGTGTGTCTAGTACCTAATAAAGAACATAACATCTTTATATTTAATATTTGACTTCATATAATAAAATATATATTGAAAATTGTTAACGCAGGTACTCTAACCTGAGCGTTATCTAAATTAATGAAATTTTATTTAAATTTACAGTACACATATCTTTATTACTAATCATATAATATACAGTACAATTTTCTTAACCTATATAGTTATAATAAAAATAATAAAGAAAACATGAAAACAAAATTAAAACAAATTTAAAAAGTTTATAGTTTATTCAGTTGGTTATTTTATTAAAAATTAATTAATTTAATTTATTTAATTTACTATATTAAAAGGATAATGATTATCAATTATGACCAGTTAGATTGAAAACAGGTTATAAAACGTTTCTGTCCCTCGTGTTACAAGAACATTAATACTGAACGCAAATTAATTAACCTCATTTCTAACTTTTATGTTTTCCGTCATAAATTATTTTAATGAGAACCAGTGATTTAATAGTAATTAAAACTATTTGTTTTGTTCAATGAGTTTTAAACTGCTAAGTATGTATAAGATCTTTACGACGTCTACTGGGACTTTGTGGCCGGCCAGTCAGTAGTGAGACTGTTCGACGATATTCCCTTTAAATTGGAAGCACGACATCCTTACGCCACAGAAACTTGAATATCATATCTAAATTAGTTGAAGTTCGTTTGACTAGCTAAAATTCGAGGGTAGACCGATTGGGCTAATTTTGATCATAAAATATTTGTGGAAGTTCAGGGAACGTTTAAAGAGTATAATATATAATAATAAAATGTTTTAGAAAATAAAAATAAAATTTTAGATTAATATAAGGTTTTGCTGTCAAATATATTATAGACGGAAGATCAATTTGTAAATGTCGTTGAGGTTATTGACTGTTACTGCAGGAGTATATCTTCAGGATAAAAAGATATTGTAGGACTATTATCATTTATCAGCCAAAAGATGTATGTAAAAATATATTTTAAGATTTTTAAAGATCTACTAAGCATTCTGTTTTAAATTGTAGATAGATAATAAAACACTTTATTAACATGATAAATATTGAACAAAAGAACAATAATAAGCAGAATTAATTTCCAAAAGGGTGGTGTTACTGCTAAGAGCAGTTTTTTCCAGACATCACGAATGACTTAAAAGGTTTTTTTTTATAGTACAGGGCATGAACGGACAAGAGGCTCACTTGCACGTAGACACTCACACCGCCAGATAGCTCGCAAATACGTTGCCGGCTTATTAAGAACCGGTACCCTCTTTTCTTCGAATTCCTGTGGGTTCCATATTATGGTGGTGCGTGTGTATATACCTATATACAATCAACAGCTAGTTCCATATAGTGGTGGTGCGCGGCAAAAAGTGCCTTAAATTATCCCAACTTTTTGTTATTAAAAAAAAAACACATTCACGTAAGGAAATAACACCATTTGAAATTGTATATTGTATATTATCTCTCTAATAAGATATATCTGGTTTTGATTCCCAAAGAAACAGTATATAAGTAGAAAAATATATTTTTCATATAGCGTAGTGATATAGCGATATTACAATAAGCAATTTCAAAGAATACATATTCTATACAAGAAATCTGATTTAAACGTCAGAAGCGCTAGAAAATGCATTTATTCTGATCCTTGAGCACACTTGAAGTGCGATAAAACTAATATTTTATTCAGGTTTTAAAGTTCCCGCCAAGAGAAAGCCGAGTGTAAATTTAATAAAAGGTTTCTTTAGTTTAAGAGATGTAACAAAATATGTTAAAAGTTTCGTATTCCACAAGGAATGATGTTGTTTAAAAAATAACTCTTATTAAGATAAAACAGAATTCATTCTAGTCTTTCTATGTATATAAAAATGAATTTCTTTTCGTTTGTCTCGCTAAAACTCGAGAATGGCTGGACCGATTTGGCTAATTATGATCTTGAAATGTTTGTGGAAGTTCAGGGAAGGTTTAAAGGGTGGGAAACATAAATAATAAATTAAAAACGACACTTGGTTGTCATATATTTATATCGTTCAAAAATTTGTGTTTTAAAGCTGTATGTGGTCCAATTTCTTTGATCTGTTTAAAAAAATGATTAAGTTTTGTCACATATATATGTAGGTGTAATTGGACACGTAATCTAGTAATATATAAATATAAGTCTTTTGCGCGCGTGTTTGTAATTAATCTCCTAACCGGCTGGACCGATTTTGATAAATTTTGTTGAAAAAAAAAAGTGCATTCGAGAATGGTTTAAATTAGACTAGATATTTTTGTATTTAATACGTATGTACGGGACATCTGTCGGGTCCAGTTGTAAAATATAAAAAGACTTTAATACTTGGTAAATGCATCAATTAATAATTAAACCGTATATTATGATTTGACATTTAACTAAATCAAATTGTTTTGGAAATATAGGTATTATAATAAACGTTAATCCATGCATCAAATATATATCAAAATTGAGCGGCTCTATCACACCAATTCACAATTTAATCTTAACGAAACGTCTTCGGTTTCCAAATGCAAAACCATTTTCAATTATTTCCCATTTAGTCAGCTCTTACACTATCAATCTAGAACCCTTTCTGAAACATTCATAACATGCAAATGCCTTGCAATTGAAAGTTACGTCACAGCACAATATTTTTATTAAAAGTATTACTAGCTTAATGTTCACTCGCG